AGAGCTATACGCGAGCCATTAATCGTAATCAAAATGTTATTGATGCTTCTTTTCGCCGAGGACTGAGCCATGCTGTTTTGAAAGAATATCCCGAAGCTATTGTTGATTTCACGAAAGCGATTGAAGGAAGTCGTGGGAGCCATCATCGAGCGTATTTTCGACGAGGATTGGCAAACGTGGCTTTGAGAAAATATCAGCAAGCATTGGATGATTATTCATCGGCTATACGCATAGCTAAATATCGTAAAGATGTATATTTAATGCGTGCGCAGTTGTACTTGCAGTTGGGACGTACTGAAGAGGCAAGTAAAGATTTCAAGGAAGCTGCATTTTGGGAACAGCAGGAACATGTCGAAGACACACCGCCAGCTACCCCGGAACCCGAGCCTAGTCCAGAGCAGGAATATATCGACCCGAAAAGTTCACGAGGACGTTTAATTGCAGCAGCAATAAACGACCTGGAAGGTAATAGTGAAGGAGCCATGGTTAACCTTCGTGAAGTAGCTGGTCTTTCCGACATAGAAACTATTCTACGCGGCATTAAAGTGATTAAAGAAAAAGGAGGTCTATTGACCAAGGAAGACCGAGCCATACTTGATGCTCTCCATGCTGCTGAACGAAGAAAGAAACAGCAAGAAGAAGCACTGAAATCATTTCAAGGCAATGTGAATTTGAAAACATATTATAATGTGTTTCATCTACAGCTCGAAGCCATGTTTTCAGGATGTAAAACGGTTGCCTCGGGATTTGTGGATCATACAGCAGAAGGAAAATTGGGAATTTTGGCGAATGGTATTAACCTATTCGGTAAACTTGTATCGTTTGTACCCGGAGTCAGTGAAGCAGCAGCACAGGTCATTGGGATTGCAGCTGATGTTGTAACGGCTATTGATCATGAACAACAAACGAATATATTGAAATATATTGCTAATCTCGGATCGACCGCGGCATTGTGGGAAGTGTCACAGTCCGTTGCTCAGCGGTTAACCGAACGATATCGAAATCAATTAGAGCAGATTATGACCCTGGAAGAAGCAAAGAAGGCTGCTCCGATAACAGATAGTATAGCTAAACGATGTATAGTGTCTTGTTCGAGAACGAAAAGAGAAATTACTAAGGAAGAAGAACCGTCGGATGTCAAAGAGATTGCTGATTATGGGGTATTTTTAATAATTGAAGCATTACAAAGTCAAATTATTGATCAGGAAGAATCACTGGTCGGACAATTAGTACGAATTGTATGTTTCGCGAACGAGCGTCAATCATTGATCGAAAAAATAACAACCAGACTTGGTGTTAGTAATAAAATTTTAAGGTGGCGTACGGGCGATCGATGTAGTTTGCATGAATTTTATTCGAAACCCAATATTCTTGTGAAAGACGAACAAGGCAGCAGTGGTGCCCCTGTGGAACATTAGGGTGGATAAGGGTTCGGAGACGTTTGGATATCGACTGGGAACAATGAAAGAAGTGGATAATGTGGATTTAGTAGTGGGACCGAAAACAAAGTAACTTCGAGACGATTTAAAAAGGACTGAACAAGCATTTAATCGTATTAGTAAAGTTATATTTTTTATCTTCCGCGGATGCGGAGTAATCAGCTTAAAACAAAGCTCCTCGTTTTTGCTGTTTTTAGCTTTACATTAGTTGTAATTATGCCGTACGACAGTTTCATCGATCCATACTTAATATACTATTTTAATAATGAACTAAGATTAAAACATAGATAATAAGAGATACGCAACCTTTTTCATCATGAAAATCGACTACTTTCTGTTTGAGACGTTGACGAAACGTCTCAGACAGAAAATAGTCGATTTTCATGATGAAAAAGGTTGTGTATCTCTTATTATCTATATTGAAATTCTTCACCTTACAAAATGACTCAAAGATTAAAACAACTTCGGAGATTTGGTTAGGTTTGTAGAAAACAATTTTCTCCCTTTTGTTTTTGAAATAGAGAGGCTCTCCGTTTAGCTCAATGAAAACCATGAGGTTTACCCCGAAACTGTTTACAAAATGAACACCATAGAAGCTGAGAGAAAGGAATATTTTGAAGACTGGGCAACGAAAAGAAGAGCTCAAGAGTACGTAATCTCAGTAAATCTTTACGAAGCTGCTGCTTTTACTTCGGTCTTTAGAAAGCTACATAGAAAACATATCGAGGACGGGAAAGTATGAAATCAAAGCGAATAAGAAGAAAAATGCAAGCGTATTCAAAGTGCAAAGGTACCACAATAAGTAGATTTACATCTAAAATGCTCTGCTTTCTTTTGCAGGTTCGAGGTTTGACCAGGTCACCGACATTTTGTCTACCGAATATTGACAAATGGACTAAAAAGGTCATTGTTCTAACAACAGATTTGAGGTATATCGGGTTTCAAGTTCTTCTTACAAGACTATCTAAAACATGGTTTTGACTATCTGGAAAAACGACCACAAACATCGGCAACCGATCAATGGCTTCGTCTCGGGCGAACAAAGGACAGACGTGATACAATGCTGAATACAAGTCCATATAGATATTTTTCAAAACAATGAAATATGCCTCCAAAATCAGCAGTGAAGTAAAATGTCTTTAGTTTTCATCTTTTTTCAAGTATATCTAAAACAGTTTTCGGGCCTAATCATATATCGGTTTGTAGAGAATTTCAAGCGCTATCTTTTGATAAAAAGATGTCTCAATGTATCAATGAATAGAAGAGAAATATTTGAAAGACTAACAGTCTAATTTATTCTGGGACACCCGTTAGATGAGTTAACTTTGCTCATAGAGATTGGACGATTTAAGTAGTTTGATTTTCATATTTTTACCTTGTTGTTCATTGCTGTTTTGTCATTGTCCTTGTTAGACGAAAGACTGTATTATTGACTCGTGGAACTGTTGATTTAATATTTTCTTTTTCGACTTCAATACTTTTTCCTGAGTTAATATCGATCCGTGCACTTGTTAACCGAATAATGGCATCCGCATTCATCCCTTGCTTTCGAAGTTTTCGACGATAACGTTGTAATTTTCGATCCCCACGACTTTTCTTCTTTTATTCATGTTGTTGTTGGATATGTTGTGGGTGTTGTTTGGTTTGACACTGATTGGAAAAATTTGGATGCCAATCTTTATAATATTGGATATCCGGATTCCATGAATGATTAATCAATTCGTTATTATTATTATTGAAATTCATCATCAAAATGACATTTAGTTATGAAGAATATATCTAAAACATAAATGATAGTGATGAAAATGGCTTTTAAGTACTATACTTGTATTGCAGAAAAAAGATCAAAAGCTTGTTTAATAACATTTTCGAGATTACAAGACTACGGCAGTTTATCAATGAGGAAAAAAGCGAGAAAACATATATGTTTTCTTTAGAAGCAAAAGCGAGTAAGCTTTTCATTGTGGAACGAGCCATATCGTTGTCCTGTCCTAAAGAAAGACAAAGCTATTGATGGTAAGGCGAACTAGTAAAATACTATCTTGTTACTTTGTTTGTGTAATATTCAGTGGATCGACATTGCTTAGTATTGAATACGAGCCAAATAATTGGTTGTTTGTGTCGATGCATCCATGTAAACGAGTTTTTTCTCTTGAAATTCCTGCCTCGTAGTGATGTACTCGTTTTGTTCGATTTTGTCTTCCTCTTTATCATCTTCGCCTTCACTCCACAATTCAGATTCATAATCTTCTTCCTCGGCATCATCGTCGTCGTTTTCACTTTCTTCTTCATCTTCTTCTTCTCCGCCGCAGATGCCATACTGCTCGTCGACTGTAGTAGTTCTGTCGAATATCGTCCTTGAAAACCCGAAATATTTCGTTAATGAAATTACATATTCTGTAAGAAGACCCTTAGGGGTATCTTCCTATGATAAAAGCTCATTTTTGACTTTTTTCGAAAAAGTCGACTTCTCTGAGGGTATTACTAAAATACGCTAACATCCACTAACACCCCCAAATTAGAATCCGAGATAGCCGGTCGATAGACCTGTTCTTTGTGAATAAACAAACACCGGAAAAATTTATTTCAAAGAGGATTCTTTAGGGCTTTTCCGTTGGGAGCACCCACTAACACCCAAAAAAGTAACGCAAACACCCAAAATAATATGCCAGAATAATTGCCATCGTTTTTTGAGCATATTAGATCACTTTTGAAGATTAAGATTAAGATTTATTTACTAAAGAGCAGGATATCACAAGAAAAGAAACAAAATCTTCTGGCATCCGTGGGTACCCTATGATACCTAAAACTAAAAATTTAAAAATATAAATAAGGAAATCTGATGAGAGCAGAGGTGGTCGGACCACTGAACTTTGGAGCGTGATCCTCCTGTATAATCAAAAATCATTTTTTTTCTCAGTTCAAAATCACGTAGTTAGTGAATATATTAAGATATTATTTCATCGAAATCAAGTCGTTTTTGCTTCGCAGGCATATTTGATGCAGTACACGAAACGACTTGATTTCGATGAAATAATATCACAGAGTTTGTTGACACAAAGAAAATGATTAAGGCACATATTTGTTTTATTCCCAAAATTTTATCTTTAGAAATGCAGCAATGCATAGTGAATACAAATGATATTATCTAAGTATACTTTAAGTGTTGTTTGCATACATATATGCATAGGTTTTATTTGCTTTTTGATAATTCTCCTTGTTCTTCTTCGAAAACATATTTCATAATAACAGAACAGAAAAATATTCAAATATGTATTGTAATCTTCTTCTCTGTTCTTTGTCAACAAATGTTATGATATAATATTTCGTCGAAATAAACTTCATTTCGTGTACTCCATCGCGAAAAACATTAACGAAAAGTAACAATATTCACTAACTACGTGATTTTGAACTGAGAAAAAAAATGATTTTTGATTATACAGGAGGATCACACTCCAAAGTTCAGTGGTCCGACCACCTCTGCTCTCATCAGATTTCCTATGGATTCAAAAGTGATCTAATATACTCAAAAAAGGATGGCAATTATTCTGGCATATTATTTTGGGTGTTTGCGTTACTTTCTTTGGGTGTTAGTGGGTGTTCGTAACGGAAAAGCCCTAAAGAATCCTGTTTGTAATATTTGCCATTATAGGCAAAACAGTGATTATCCAATATTAGACGAGTTAATTTGAGAATAGTGTCAATTGAGATATTCCCAATTTTACCATGTGTCAAATGTTTAGCCGAAAATCGACCTGTCCTCCGGGTAGGCCATAGAGTGGCTCCATCTACGTTCTCTAGTCTTCTCTGCCCTTCATTTCTCCATAGTATACGTCATGGTTCATGGCTGATTATGCCCTCAGAGTGTCTCTCACCCTTCCAGGTGTTTGCACTCTGTTTGTGTTCATGATATATGATTGGACGTGTTTGTGATCTCTCTTTGTGTTTGTGATTCATCCAGGTGTTTAGTACTATCTTTGTGTTCATGACCTATCTTCTCTCTATGATATCATTCTTATATTTGACATAAGTAAATTCTCTTCTTTTATTCAATATAATATAATATAATATTTGATTAATTGTGACGTTTCGTATCTCGATGAGATGCGTTTTCAGACATTTAATGTGGAACATATGAATTGACAATGACGTATATATAGGTGGAAATGAGCACACATGCCTATTGTTCCATTCATTTCATTCTTTGATAGTGATACGGAAAACAAGACGGTAATAGCTAGATATGGATTCAGTCCTTTTTCCGTATCACTATCACCGTCTTGTTTTTTACTTCTTGACTTTTTTGTACTTATTATAGTTTTCTTGACTTAGTTGAATTTTTCTTTGAATTTGTTGTTGGGGTTTTTGTAAGATTGGTGTTCATGATGCATTACTTTCATCATGTGTATTGATTGACTCACTTACTATTGAACAGATTGCTTCTTTTGTACGTCTTTTCCACTAATCTTTTTCTTCTTCAATAAATGCATGATCTGTATCGAATAAACATTGGAATTCTTTTCAAAGTGTTCAACCATTTCTGACTTGCTATCATTTGTATTGTCACTTATTGTTTTTGAACGTTGTTTCATACGATTGTCAATACCAACTTTCGTTTGCCCAACGTAGGTTTGTTTGCACGAACAAGGAATTTGATAGACAAAAGATTTTGATGAAATTTTCATTGATCGATTGAATTGTGATTGTAATTTGTGTGGGTAAGAAAAATATAATTTGATCTTTAATATCTTCTCCATTCTTCTTTTTAATATTTCCATACCAGGAACATATGGTAGTGGCAGACTATATTTCATTTCTTCATTGTTGTTGTTTTTATTTGATTTAAATTCTTCACACTCCTGTCTTATTAATTTTTTCACTTCTTTTAATGGATAATTTGACTTTAATAACATAGTTTTTAATTGATTTAAATCTTCTTTTTGATCTTGCCCATCTTGCGTTGTTTCCAAGATTCTTGCAGTCATGTTTTTTACAATATTTGTTTTAATGGATTTTCCATGACTTGACTCGTAATGTAATAAACTATCAGTGGCGGTTTCTTTTCGAAACCATCTAATTTTAAGTTTAGTCTCATCATTTTGACTAAGTCGTGTTAATGTTGTATCAAGAAAACTCAATTTATTATTTTGTTCAAATTCCGACGTAAATTTAATCGCTCCACGTATTTTGTTTAACTCATTCACATAATCTTCTAATTGTTGTTTGTTCATTTTTGTGATGATCAATATATCATCAACGTAGCACCAGAATTTATTTGGGATGTTGATTTCATGTAAATGCTGTTGTTGGTAGTCGTCCATATAAATGTCAGCCAGTATTGGCGATAGTGTATTACCCATAGGTAAACCTGATTGTTGTTTATAGTATTTCCCATTAAATTGAACATAGCTCTTTTTTAAGGATAAATTTAATAAATCTTTAATATCAGTTTTTGCAAGTGGCAGATTGTCTAATTTCTTGGATTCTTGAAGGCGTTTTAATGTGATGTCAATTGCTTTGTGGACTGGTATATTTGTATATAGATCCTGGATATCCAGACTTGCTAAATGATCACCTTGATTTAATTTAATATTTGAAATATTTTTAGTTATCGATAAATTTCGATAAATATTAAGTTTGCTGGGCTTGGTGTGACGGCGAGGGTGAGGGTGTGGGGTGAGGATGAGCGTGGAATACACCATTGTAGTATATTCTCGTGCAGAGTTTATACACTTTTCTTAATATATTAGGTTGGCAAGAAAGTTTTGTCGTTTTTTTCGAATTTTTATTTTTATTTTTTTCTTTCAGACATTCAACTAGTTTTCGATGATATATGCTCCATCGCTATCTACTACCTGTCGCCAACGCTCAGGTAGAGAAAAGATCTCGCGTTCGTAAAAGTGCGAAGACTTCTGGCTGAAAAAGTCCACCAAGTCCGTTTTGAGTTCGCTTTCGTCATCGAACTTGTTCTCACGTAGGTGATTGGAGAGAGATCGAAACAAGTGATAGTCACTAGGAGCCAAGTCCGGAGAGTAAGGTGGGTGGGGAATGGTAACCCATCCTAGCTCCAATAATTTTTTGCGGGTCGACTTTGTTACATGGGGCCTTGCGTTATCGTGTAAAAAATAAACCCGATCTTGTTTGCCCTTGAGTTTTTGTGCAACACGATCCAATTGCTCACAGTAGAGATCGGCGGTGACGATACATCCATCCGGTAGCAGCTTCCAATGAATGATTCCTTTAACGCCCCACCAGACACTCAACATCACTTTCTTCGGATGGAGATCGTTTTTCGGTGTTGCTGTACCAGTTTGGCCAACGCCAAGCCATTGACGCTTGGGCGTATGATTAACATACAGCACCCACTTCTCATTACCAGTAATGAGATTGCGCAGCCATTCGTAGTTACGATGAGATGTCAGTAAATCCATACAAACATCAAGCCGGTATTGAAGCTGATGGACCGATAATTCGTGGGGTATCCAAACCCCATATTTCCACGTCTTTCCCAATTCGTTCAAATGTGTTTCGATTGTGGTATGGGAGCATCCGAGCTGCTTTGCTACGCAGCGTGTCGTCAACCGAGGATCGTCTTCAATAAGTTGTTTTAATTGGTCCAAATCTATCTCGGTCGGTCTTCCAGAGCGAGGTGAATCGTCCAACTCAAAGTCATTGTCGAACCGACTGAACCAACGCTGTGCCGTACGTGTGGAGATAATACCTTGGCCCATTGTCCTACATATGTTGTCCGCTGTGCCGTACGTGTGGAGATAATACCTTGGCCCATTGTCCTACATATGTTGTCCGCTGTGCCGTACGTGTGGAGATAATACCTTGGCCCATTGTCCTACATATGTTGTCCGTTGCTTTATGACCCAGAAAGAATTCATGCAGTAAAAGCACTCGAATCTCTCTCTGAGACAAGTTAATTTCTGTTTCACGATCAACATCCATATCAATAGCTGTTATATGGTTCGATAGCTACTCACTCTCCCTATATATATCCTCCATATAGAAACTTCCAGAGCATTCTCGAAAGTTCTGTGAAAATTTGGAAAAAAACGACAAAACTTTCTTGCCAACCTGATGGATATCTAGAAATACCTATAAAATCAGCCAGTGTGATGACATCATCAAATGCTTAACATGTTCGTAAAAGAGAGTGATGACCGATTGATTTTTCTGCGTTCGCCTACAAACGCAAGAAAAACCGGTAACAAAGAGCTTACACTTAGTCATTGAATACTTGATTTTGATGAACATCTCTAATAATGATCTAATTGAAACAGAAGAAGATTAATGTGATTTTCAAAATCTTTGGAAACGAAAGTCTTCTCGCATACAAACGCATTTCAGAGGACGTGAACGTCATTGCAGAATGAAGATGCAAACTTTTTTCGACTTGATCTTCTATCAGAATCAAAGTCAAGTGTTGATTATTCGGAGATGAGGACAGCATCGGACAATGAGCTAGCCATGACATGTTAACTTTCACATTTCTGGAAAACATGAGAAAATAACTGAGTGTCGAAGTCCACTAGCGAATAGAGCGTCCTAGAATAAGTGTGGCCTTACAAAACACGTTTGGACCCTGCCATCAATATGTGATAATGTTATAAACGTTCAACCAACGAAGTAACCGCTCTGTTGCGATATGTCAGTAATTCCTTCTTGATCGCTCGCAAACTGCGTAATTATACCCTAAAAGATTACAGTTTTTAGAGAAAACGGGCGTTGTTTAATTGTGACAGCTCTTTTAGACTTTTTTGACGAAAGAAGTCCAATATTGGACGTTTCCACGATCGAAAAACTGAAAAGACGCAAAAACTCGTCAGAAACTCGCATTTTCCTGCGTTTTCCGAGCCAACCAGAAAAAACGCTGAAAAATCGAACAGAAATCACCTTTTTGAGTCTACATTCCTGATATTTTGGCATCTCTGTCTGCCTGGGATGTACCGATATATAATCTTCGAAATAACCTACCATTTTAGATAGAGATTTTGGCAGAATTGACCATTTTTTATGAGAATTTCGATAAATTTTATACCTATAGTACAGTGCTCTTACAATTGAAAAATATTCTTTTTATAAGGTGGTAGAAAAATGTTTGTGTCACTTTCAGCTAGGAACGGGTGATCTATCCAACCTTGGACACTTTCGTTTGCTGAGAGTGCGCCCTCTTGAAATGGTGCTGGAACAAAGAGTGGTAAAGGACATTTCCGAGTGCAACATTACCGTTGGATTTTTTTTCTTTCACTCGAGATACAGGGTCCAAAATACTGAACTGGAGGGTGTCCTATTCTGTATTTTGTACTTTGTAATTCGTGTTGGAAGAGTTTCAAAAAATCCACTGATAATGTTGCACGAATGAAAGTGCCTAGTGTTTCGATAAACACACTTCCGTTCTGCTGGGTTCCCAGAGAAAAAATGTTTATTTAGGAGTTATTTTAAATTATGATTCACAGGATAGAGTCAATTACTAAACAATTTTGTTTATTCACACTCTCGACATCAAATAATATTGTCTTATCTATTTTTTTGGATATATGGTACTAGAACAACTAATGACAGTTTCAACGATATCTAACTTTTCTTGGCAAATATAGGTATCTAAAGGAGAACAAGGTGTTTTTTTCTTCTCTTCTTCCTCTTTCTCTTCTCGTATGTTATATGATAACGATAAGACCAAGCGAGCAAAGGTACATCCATTTCTATCTCTTTTTACCTGAATATTGTGACAGAATGGCGCACGATGCTCCTCCTTCTACTATCCACAAAGTTCGGGTGGAGTGGATGTGGAAGAGTAATACTAATCCTTGGTGTCCACTACAAGCAGCCGAGTGGCGTTCTTACTCTGATATAGAGATTGACATGATAGAACAAGCATTCAACAAGAAGGAGACACACGTACTACTTGATAATTTTCATATTATTTTTGAGCATTTTATCCAAATCTCCAACACAGATGAGAGAAATCAACGTCTAGTAAAACGATGTATTGTGAATAAAACAGAAGAAAAACTCAGAGAAGAACGTTTCTTCGCAAATGCCATAACGCCTACCAAAGTATTTACTGAAGGTTGGTCGTCGGAAAGCATATTTATCAAAACAACTTTGGGACATTTTGATCTTAATAATTATCCATTGTCTGACTATCAACGTCGTATGTTGGTGGATAGTGCATGTAAAGGTCTACTAATAGAAGGTAAAGAAGCGGGTAAACTGAGACAAGCAATGTGGATGGAGCAACAACTTATCATGGTGAAAAACGGTACAGAAAGGGAAATAGCTGAGACATGTGCTTATCTCTATACGACGGATTCTTTCCTCCATAGGAAGCTTAATGAATGTATGAAACTGCTGGGAGATGATAAATATGAAAATTTCTGGAGAAGCAAAGTTTCGACACTGGGACCATTTGCCTACTTATTTCGAGATTTAAGTATCCTAACTATGAATAGCAGAAAGGCGACTGTATATCGTGGAATGAATTTGTGCGACGATTTAATTAAACAATTGATAGAGATAAAAGAAGGGGAAAAGTGTTCCCTTCCCGCTTTCACATCGACCAGCCGAAATAGAGAGAAAGCCGTGTTTATAAACGGTAATGTTCTTGTGGAAATTGACATTGATGACGGTTTTGATGGATGGGACATTTCTTCTTATTCAAATTTTGATGAAGAAGAGTTTCTCCTCGAAGATAATTGCCACTTCACTTTTATATCATGCAAGCTTGATAGTAGTAAAAAAGACAAATGGATCATCCATCTTCAAAGTCGATCGTACGCCGAACTTTTATAACTGTTTCTTGTACAAGTCAGAAGGCATCAGTGGATATAAGCGATTTCGTTTTGAACAGTCTTCGAAACAAATTTACTTTTTTCTTAACAGACTTTTTTAGCAAATATGTATTTTTTTAGTTTTCTCCAAGCTTCCCTTTGCTGTCTTACATTTCTGAGTTTTTGGAAAACTAACTAAGATATCAGGGTGAGCAGTGAGGAGGAGCTGCCATAACCGGTTTCGATCTCCGCTCAAGAGATCTCATCAGATGGCTTGAATTCGGATACTCAACATAGAGTAAACCTTTTTTCGATTATTTGAAACGAATCGCAGAGTATTTGATTTACGTTGAGTCGATGGAAAAGAAAAGATAAAGAATTACTTAAGAAACTTTATTAGTAACAAAAGAATAGGTCAAGATTGGGGTCGTTTCGAGTCTTAGAAATAGACAAAGGCTGTAAGTATATAGAATGATTAGTTATAGTTGAAAGTGTACCTGTAAACCAACGTCGTTGATGTGCAACCGCACTGTGGACATTGATTGTTGTTTGGATGGACGTCGTAGTAACCAGCCTTGTGTTCCAAATGTCCACATTCGTATTGTACGTTGGATACCCGGCTATTGACATCGATGATTGTGTTGCATGAATGATACACGAAAATTGTACGAGCCATTGGTGACTGAAATTGTGCATCGAGAACTGGCAAATAAGGAGATACCTCTTCTCGCATAAGCACGGTGTATATATAAAAGATATTTCTTTTCGTTTCTTGACAAATATCTATAAAGATTCGACACTAATATGACTTGGTTCAATTTATGCTTCATAACTCAATCACTTTTGATCCAAATTTTATGAAAGAACTACTGTAAGACTCACAAAGCTTCGGTGTAGTCACAAATGTAAGAAAGTTCAAGACTTTCACAGTTGAACCTTGCAAAGGACTTAAATAAAAGTCAATAACGTATGTGAATACAATATTATTCAAATGGCAAAGATATGTGCTGACTTTGATCGAGTTTTTTTGGAGGGTCAACTATGGAACTAATGAACTTCTTTACATTTGTGAGTGAGTCTTACGGTAGTTCTTTCATAACATTTGAATCAAAACTGACTGAGTTATGAAGAATAAATTGAACCAAAGTCATATAAGTGTTCAATCTCTATAGACATTTGCCAAGAATCGAAAAGAAAGATATCTTTTATTAATACGTGTGCCTTTTCACTGTATGTCGCAGGACTTAGAACTTGAAAAACTCAGCTCAGCACTGTTTCATTCACCGTTTTATTTTTAGATACCAGAATCAAAGTCAAAACAACGCTAAGCTGCATAATAGATAGATGTGATATAAAATAAAAGATATACGTAGGTACAACAGTCAAATATGAATGTGCTTGGATTACGACTTATGAAAAGGCATGAAGGAGAGATATCTCTACGATATGGCATATGTGTTTATTTATTAGTCGTTTCATATATGACTGTCGTAACTACGTATATCTTTTATTTTATATCACATCTATCTATTATGCAGCTTAGCATCATTTTGGCTGTGATTCTAATATGTAAAAATAAAATAGTAAATGAAAAGTGTTGAACTAAGAAATGATTGTTTATCGATGATAGCGACCGCAAGAGAAAATTATTTTTATCTGGTATGTTCTTCTCTAGTTCGATGTGTAGCAATTACAACACATGGAGTATCTTGTGTGAAAATGATTCAAAACAGGTATTTTCAAAAACCTCAGTTTTCAGACATCTACCGCCCATCAAAGAACAATCGGCTGTATTTCAATGAAGTAAAAACATGTGTTCAGTGTTTGTTCTGAATTTCAATGGGCGTGTTCTAATAACAAAAATTAGAATTCAGTGGTTCTATTCTGAATAAATGCGATCTTTAATAAAAAGAAATGAAGCGGAATATTTTAAACGCGCAAAATCTCACTCATTTCGAATCATAAACCGAAAATTTGTGTTTCATTCGATTACTGAGATTCCCAGCTACATAATGGTGAAAACATTTTTTCGAAGAAGTTCAAAAATAAGGTCAGGAGACTGAACTTACTACAGTTGCTGAGTTTTCCTAGTTACTAATATACTTGAATATACGTTTGGTATATAAAAAAAGATATATATCTCTTCCATATCTATATGTTCTGATGTATACTCGTCGACTGATATAAAGGAAAAAGGATGAAGAAAGCGCGGCGTCAGTCTACACAGACACCAGTCTTAATGTATATGTTATATTTATGAGTTGCGTGCAAGTACAATCGCTTTTTAGCAGTGTTTTGACTCTGGTTTTGGTTCCTGTGATCTGATTTTCAAACTTTCTCTTTCAGTTTACTCCTCACGGTCTCTCTCATTGCGACATAAAATTCCAGCACTTAGCCACACCACTTGACCAAGTTATATGCTTTGCAAGTTGAAAAGACAAACTTTTTCGATGAGTCATCGAAGAAAAAATGGGAGGAGTAACGAAGGAAAGTTTGAAAAAGTAGTACAGTACGTTTTGTACAGTATTCAATTCTCTATCGAACTATGGGATTCACTTTTGGAGCCCTTCTTCTTAACGTGCACGTTTTTCGTCAAAACACTTTGACATACTTTTGTGTAGAGAAACACAAAATGCGTTGTGCTTAGAGGTGTAAGCCGAGCAGTTAGGCGGCGGCGGTGGCTCGTAATTTTTCAATTTTATAAAAGTTCGGCGACGGCTGATTCAGATCTGTGACCCGGTCGGCGGCG